AAAAATGGTTATAATAGGTTCAATCGACTGAAAATTGGTGTCAAATTGAAGATCATCTTCTACTAATTACGAATCCGAAATCGCCGTCACGATATCAAGTGAAATAAACTTGAAAACTGAGCTCGAAATTTTCAAAAATTTTCCAAAACAAAATAGTTGAAATAGGTTCTATCGACTGAAAATTCGTGTTAAATTGTAGATAATCTTCCGTTAATTACGAATCTGAAATCCTCGTTACGTTCCTAAGTCAAATAAACGTGAAAACTGAACTCAAAATTTTCAAAAATTTTCCAAAAAAATGGTTAAAATAGCTTCAATCAATTGAAAATTGGTGTCAAATTGTTGATAATCTTCCGCTAATTAGGAATCCGAAAACGCCGTTACGATTTCAAGTCAAATAAACTAGAAAACTGAGCTCAAAATTTTCAAAAATTTTCCAAAAAAAATGGTTAAAACAGGTTCAATCGACTTAAAATTTGTGTGAAATTTTCGATAATCTTCCGCTAATTACGACTCCGAAATCGCTGATATGGTATTAAGTGAAATAAACATGAAAACTGAGTTCAAAATTTTCAAAAATTCTACAAAAAAATGGTTGAAATTGGTTCAATCGACTGAAAATTGATGACAAATCGTAGATAATTTTCCGCAAATTACGAATTCGAAATCATCGTTACGCTATCGAGTCAAATAAACGTGAAAACTGAGTTCAAAATTTTCAAAAATTTTCCAAAAAAATGGTTAAAATAGGCTCAATCGACTGAAAATTCGTGCCAAATTGTAGATATTTTTCCGCTAATCACGAATTCGAAATCGCCGTTACGATATCAAGTCATAAAAACATGAAAACTGAGTTCAAAATTTTAAAAAAATTTCCAAAAACATGGTTAAAATAGGTTCAATCAACTGAAAATTGTTGTCAAATTGTACACAATTTTCCGATCATTACGAATCCGAAATCGCCGTTACGATATCAAGTCAAGTAAACGTGAAAACTGAGTTCAAGATTTTCAAAAATGTTCCAAAAAATATTATTAAAATAGTTTCAATCAACTGAAAATTGGTTCAAATTGTTGATAATCTTCCGCTAATTACGAATCCGAAATCGCCGTTTCGATTTCAAGTCAAATAAACCTGAAAGCAGAACTCAAAATTTCCAAAAAATTTCCAAAAAAAATGGTTGAAATAGCTTAAATCGATTGAAAATTGGTGTGAAATTGTAGATAATCTTCCGATAATCACGAATCCGAAATCGTCGTTAGGTTATCAAGCCAAATAAACGTGAAAACTGAGCCCGAAATTTTCAAAAATTTCCCAAAAAAATGGTTAAAATATGTAGGTTCAATCGACTGAAAATTGGGGTCGATAATCTTCCGCTAATTACGAATCCGAAATCGCCGTTACGATATCAAGTCAAATAAACATGAAAACCGAACTCAAAATTTTCAAAAATTTTCCAAAAAAATGGTTGAAATAGGTTCAATCGACTGAAAATTTGTGTCAAATTGTAGATAATTTTCCGCTAATTACGAGTCCGAAATCGCCGTTACGATATCAAGTCAAATAAACGTGAAAATTGAGTTCAAAATTTTCAAAAATTTCCCAAAACAATGCTTAAAATAGGTTCCATCGACTGAAAATTGATGTCAAATTGTAGATAGACTTCCGCTAATTACAAATCCGACGTCGCAGTTTCGATTTCAAATCAAATAAACTAGAAAACTGAGCTCAAAATTTTCAAAAATTTTCCAAAAAAATGGTTAAAGCAGGTTCAATCGACTGAAAATTGGTGCCAAATTGTAGATAATCTTCCGCTAATTACGAATTCGAAATCGGCCTTACGATATCAAGTCAAATAAACATGAAAACTGAACTCAAAATTTTCAAAAATTTTCCAAAGAAATGGTTTAAATCGGTTCAATCGACCGAAAATTGGTGTCAAATTGTAGATAATCTTCCGCTAATTACGAATTCGAAATCGCTGTTTGGATATCAAGTCAAACAAACGTGAAAACAGAGCTCGACATTTTCAAAAATTTCCCAAAAAAAATGGTTAAAACAGGTTCAATCCACTGAAAATTGGTGCCAAATTGTAGATAATCTTCCGCTAATTACGAATTCGAAATCGGCCTTACGATATCAAGTCAAATAAACATGAAAACTGAACTCAAAATTTTCAAAAATTTTCCAAAGAAATGGTTTAAATCGGTTCAATCGACCGAAAATTGGTGTCAAATTGTAGATAATCTTCCGCCAATTACGAATCCGAAATCGCTGTTTGCATATCAAGTCAAACAAACGTGAAAACTGCGCCCGAACTTTTCAAAAATTTCCCAAAAAAATGGTTAAAACGGGTCAAATCGACTAAAAATTGGTGTCAAATTGTAGATAATCTTTCGCTAATTACGAATCCGAAATCGTCGTTACGTTATCAAGCCAAATAAACGTGAAAACTGAGCTCAAAATTTTCAAAAAATTTCCAAAATAATGGTTAAAATAGGTTCAATCAACTGAAAATTGGTCTCAAATTGTACATAATCTTCCGCTAATTGCGAATCCGAAATCGTCGTTACGTTATCAAGTTAAAGAAACGTGAAAAGTGAGCTCAAAATTTTCAAAAAATTTGCAAAAAAATGATTAAAACAGGTTCAATCGACTGAAAATTGGTTCCAAATTGTGGATAATCTTCCGATAATTACGAATCCGAAATCGTTGTTTGGATATCAAGTCAAATAAACGTGAAAACTGAGCTCGAAAATTTCCCAAAAAAAATGGTTAAAACAGGCTCAATCGACTGAAAATTGGTGTCAAATTGTAGATAATCTTCCGCTAATTACGAATCCGAAATCGTCGTTACGATATCAAGTCAAATAAACGTGAAAACTTAGTTCAAAATTTTCAAAAAATTTTCCAAAAGAGTGTTTAAAATGGGTTCAATCAACTGAAAATTGATGTCAAATTGTACATAATCTTCGGCTGATTACGAATCCGAAATCGCCGTTACGATATCAAGTGAAATAAACGTGAAAACTGAGCTCTGGATTTTCAAAAATTTTCCAAAAAAATGGTTAAAACAGGTTCAATCACCTGAAAATTGGTGTCAAATTGTTGATAATCTTCCGCCTATTAGCAATCCGAAATCGCCGTTATGATATCAAGTCAAATAAACTTGAAAAGTTAGTCCAAAATTTTCAAAAATTTTCCAAAAAAATAGTTAAAATAGGTTCAATCAACTGAAAATTGGTTTCAAATTGTACATCATCTTCTGCTAATTACGAATCCGAAATCGCCGTTGCGATATCAAGTCAAAATAAACGTGAAAACTGATTTCAAAATTTTCAAAAATTTTCCAAAAAAAAATGGGTAAAGTAGGTTCAATCGACTGAAAATTGGTGTCAAATTGTAAATTATCTTCCGCTAATTACGAATCCGAAATCGCCGTTACGATATCAAGTGAAACAAACGTGAAAACTGAGCTCGAATTTTTCAAAAAATTTCCAAAAAAATTGTTAAAACAGCTTCAATCGACTGAAAATTGGTGTCAAATTGTAGATAACCTTCCGCTAATTACGAATCCGAATTCGTTGTTAGGCTATCAAGGCAAATCAACATGAAAACTGAGCTCGAAATTTTCAAAAATTTTCCAAAAAAAATGGTTAAAACAGGCTCAATCGACTGAAAATTGGTGTCAAATTGTACATAATCTTCCGCCGATTAGGAATCCGAAATCGCCGTTACGATATCAAGTCAAATAAACGTGAAAACTGAATTCAAAATTTTCAAAAAGTTTCCAAAAAAATGGTTAAAATAGCTTCAATCGACTGAAAATTTGTGTCAAATTGTAGATAGTCTTCCGCTAATAACGAATCTGAAATCGCCGTTACGACATCAAGTGAAATAAACATGAAAACTGAGCTCAAAATTTTCAAAAATTTTCCAAAAAATTATTTAAAATGGGTTCAATCGACTGAAAACTGGTGTCAAATTGTAGATAAAGTTCCGTCAACTACGAATCCGAACTCACCGTCACGACATCAAATCAAATGAACGTGAAAAGTGTGTTCACAATTTTCATCAGATTTTTTGGAAAAATTGTAACTTTGAAACTAAAAAACCGAATGCTCTGGAATCTTAGAAAATCTATATAGAAAAACTCAATAGAAACATATTCATAGCTTACTTCTTGAAAAAAATCACAAATACATAAAGTTCTCAAAGTTAAATTAGATCAAGTGTTCGACTGTGCTTTAAGACTGAGGGAAGTTCTGTTCAAATTACAACCTTCACCAATTTTTTTATAACTTTACCCTGTACTACTTTGACTCTCCCGGTTGTACAAAAATTCTTCTGGGAGTCCCTTGAGAAAGAGGACTAGAATCTAGAAACCAAACAATTGTAGCAAATTATAGGTATTACAGACAAATTTTTATTTTTTCATTTGGATGTATGAAGTCTACTCTACACACATTCCTAGCAATATAACGGGAATTCAGCGTAGTCAAACACCCCTTTGTTTCCCACAGAAGCTGTTAATACGTGCTTGTAGCCAGCAGACTTTGCGAAATTATTAACTATTAAACACTTTTCAATTACTTAGTTACCCCATTCAAACCAATAAGAGGTACGTTGAAACGACATATAACATTAATACCAACCCGTTAGACTATACCCAATCAGGAAAATGAAAATCTTAAAACCCCGAACTTTTATCGCACTTCTATATCGCGAATTCCCCGACCCGCCACCCGCTCTCAAAGTATCACCCATTCCCGGTGCATTTCTCGTTCAATTTCCAGTCCTCCACTTTAAAATGCATTTCCACCCCCAATCAATTCCTCAAGCACCGCCGCCCCCGACCTCGCCACATACTTTCGCCCACCGGCGAAACTCCACAACGAAATTAGCTGCAGGATATTAAAGTTTCTAGAGATAAGGCCCGAGATATAAATTGAAGCGTGAAAAGCGGCGAAATTAAGAGCCGCGATAAGCGGCCACCTCACCTCCAGCACCAGGGTGACCCAGACCACGTTGAAGACGCAGAAGAAGGACATGGTGTCGGAGTAGACGATGAGCTGGAGCAGGCCGAGCAGCACGGGCACGACCAGGGTGGCGGTGTAGTAGCCCAGGAAAGTGAAGTAGAGGGCGATCGCTTCGCCGAAGTAGAGCCGGATCTCCTCTGGAACAAAGGAAAAAGGGCGATCATCAGAGGGATTTTGTAATTGTGTCCGTAATGGGATCGCGCTAACTGAAATTAACCCGGAGAATTTTAATTGGCCGCGTTCGGGGAGATTCCGACGGTCTCCAATTAGGAGCGGAGGCATTCCGGGTAATTCGGTCGAGGGGTTGGCTCGAGTGGGCAGACGAAAAAATTGACGGCAGTGGAGGTTTTGCGGTTCGACCCGAATGCCGGGCTGCGGGAAGGGTTGTAGAGTGGTGAAGATACCGGGTGCGGTAAAAACTGGGTTTAATGACAATTTCATGTTTATACGAGTCAGACAAGCTATATTAAAAGTATATAATTTAAGTCAAAATGCTATGATATTTGAAATTTATTTTCAAACGTCAGTCAGAATGTCAATATGAGGTATTTTACAATGATGGTTTTTAAAATCCCAGAAGCTTGTCCTCTGAAACTTTTTAAATTTTTATAAAATGACATAGTGCTCTACTTGTAGTTTATGAATCCGAGTTGAGTTTGTAAAAACAATCAAATTGTATTATAACATTTTACAATTTAACTTTGAAAGTGCAAAACTGAATGCTCTGAAAGCTTGCAAACCTTTTAAGGTTCTCGGAAACAGGGTAAAATTCATTCGTTTACGACCCCCTTAAACACTGATCTTATCATCTTAAACTTTTGGCAAATAAATTCTATCAAAAATGTGCAAAATATGATGAGTCTCTACTCGTGAATTATCATTCCGTTCATATTTTTTAGAACTGCTTATACAGGGTGACTCAAAAAAAAATTAATGACTCAACCCATTTTCCCGAAAATTTGGGAGTATAAACTGACATACAGGTCCTTGCAAAGATGTTGGTCACCAAATTTTGTAAACACTCATTTGAAACATACGCGTGGCATGCTTCTTTTACATTTACTTAACTTAAATTTATAGGGGTTCCCATTAAAAAAATAAAATTCTCGAAATCAAATTTTGTAATTTTTCGAAAAACTTAGATATGTTTTATTGTACTTCAGGGGCGAGGGAGGTTTTGTCGAAATAAACCCCTACCAATTTTCCAATTTACCATTCATCGATTTTTTTTATTTTCCCATATCCCGACTTTACGATCTTCGATTTCTCGATTTCCGAATTTTTCAATGTTTCAATCTTGTGATTTTTCAATTTTTCCATTTTTCAAATTATCGAGGTATCAATTTTTTTAATTTTCGATTTTTCGATTTTTTGGTGCTCCGAGTTTTCCTTTCTTTGATTTTTATATTTGTCAGATTTTTCCAATTTATATAATTTAGATTTTTCAATTTATTTTTAAAATTTTTTAATTTTCGCTTTCGAAATTTTCCAGTTTTTCGTTTTTAGATTTTTTAATTGTTCAATTGTTCAATTTTTATATTTCTCGATTTATCTAGAATTTTTCTGTTTGTCAATTTTCCCTATTTTAAATGTCAGATTTTTTTAATTTATGTTTTCTAAAATTTTTCAATTTTTTACTTATTGAGTTTTTTGAGTTTTCAATTAATAAATTTTTCATTTTTCTGCTTTATTATGGGTATATTATTTATTCATTTATTTATTATATTTATCGATTTTTTACAATTAAAATTTTTGGACTTCCCCAGTTTTCTTGTTCTTTGATTTTTGTATTTGTCAATTTTCCCTATTTTTAAATGTCAAATTTTTGTTTTTTTAAATTTATTATTTTCGATTTTTCAATTTTTTAGTTTTCAAATTTTTTAATTATCCAGTTTTTCGATTTTTCAATTGTTGGGGCTTGATTTTTCGATCTTTTGACTTCTCGGGTTTTCTATTTCTCGGTCTTCTCATGTTTCGAATTCTCGATGTCTTAATTTTTCATTTTTCGGTTGTTAAATTTTTGGTCTTTCAGGTGCTTAATTTTCCAATTTTTCGACTTTTCAGCGCTTGGATTTTCCAATTTTTCGATTTCTCATTTTTTCGAGGAATTCAGTTTGGAGATTTTTCAATTTCTCAATTTTTCGTTTTTAAAATTTTTCAGTTTTTTGGTTTTTCCATTTTTCGGTTGTTCATACTTTCGATTCAATATTTCGATGTTTTATTTATTATATTTGTTTAAATTTTACATTTTTAGATTTCTATTTGTGAATTTTTCCAATTTTTTGATTTCTAAAATTTTTGATTTTTCGATTTTTTGGTGCTCTGATTTTTCCTTTCTTTGATTTTTATATTTGTCAGAGATTTTTCCAATTTATATTCTTTAGATCTTTCAATTTTTTTATTTTTAAAATTTTTTATTTTTCGATTTTTCGGTTTCGAAATTTTCCAATTTTTCGTTTTTAGATTTTTTAATTGTTCAATTGTTCAGTTTTTAGATTCCTCGATTTATCGAGATTTTCATGTTTCGATTTTTCGATTTTCCTCTTGAAAGAATTTTTTCAAGAAATTCAAATCAAACAACTAGAATTATTCTATTTGTCAATTATCCCTATTTTAAATGTCAGATTTTTTAAATTTATGTTTTTTTTAATTTTTGATTGTTCGATTTTTCAATTTTTTTGCTTTTAAATTTTTTAATTATTGAGTTTTTCGAGTTTTCAATTAATAAATTTTTCAATTTTGCAATTTTTCGATTTCTCGATGTATCCAGACTTCAATGTTTCGATTTTTCGATTGTTCAATTTCCCAATTTTCGATTTTTCATTTTTCTTTTTTATTATGGGTATATTATTTATTCAATTATTTATTATATTCATGGATTTTTACATTTAAAATTTTTGGACTTCCCGAGTTTTCTTGTTCTTTGATTTTTTTATTTGTCTATTTTCCCTATTTTTAAATGTCAAATTTTTGTTTTTTTAAATTTTTTATTTTCGATTTTTCAATTTTTTGGCTTTCAAATTTTTTAATTATCCAGTTTTTCGATTTTTCAATTGTTGGGGCTTGATTTTTCGATCTTTTGACTTCTCGGGTTTTCTATTTCTCGGTCTTCTGATGTTTAGATCTCGATGTCTTAATTTTTCATTTTTCGGTTGTTAAATTTTTGGTCTTTCAGGTGCATAATTTTCCAATTTTTCGACTTTTCAGCGCTTGGATTTTCCAATTTTTCGATTTTTCGAGGAATTCAGTTTGGATATTTTTCAATTTCTCAATTTTTCGTTTTTAAAATTTTTCAGTTTATCGGTTTTTCCATTTTTCGATTGTTTATACTTCCGATTCAATATTTCGATATTTTAATTATTATATTTGTTTAAATTTTACATTTTTAGATTTCACGATTTTTCGGTTCTTCGATTTTTCTATTTGTGAATTTTTCCAATTTTTTGATTTCTAAAATTTTTGATTTTTCGATTTTTTGGTGCTCTGATTTTTCCTTTCTTTGATTTTTATATTTGTCAGAGATTTTTCCAATTTATATTCTTTAGATTTTTCAATTTTTTGATTTTTAAAATTTTTGATTTTTCGATTTTTCGGTTTCGAAATTTTCCATTTTTTCAGTTTTTAGATTTTTTAATTGTTCAATTGTTCAGTTTTTAGATTTCTTGATTTATCGAGATTTTCATGTTTCGATTTTTCGATTTTCCTCTTGAAAGGATTTTTTCAAGAAATTCAAATCAAAGAACTAGAATTTTTCTATTTGTCAATTTTCTCTATTTTAAATGTCAGATTTTTTAAATTTATGTTTTCTAAAATTTTTGATTGTTCGATTTTTCAATTTTTTGGCTTTTAAGTTTTTTAATTATTGAGTTTTTCGAGTTTTCAATTAATAAATTTTTCAATTTTGCAATTTTTCGATTTCTCGATTTATCGAGACTTCAATGTTTCGATTTTTCGATTGTTCAATTTGCCAAGTTTCGATTTTTCATTTTTCTGATTTATTATGGGTATATTATTTATTCATTTATCTATTATATTTATCGATTTTTTTACATTTAAAGTTTTTGGACTTCCCGAGTTTTCTTGTTCTTTGATTTTTCTATTTGTCAATTTTCCCTATTTTTAGTTGTCAAATTTTTGTTTTTTTACATTTTTTATTTTCGATTTTTCAATTTTTTGGATTTAAAATTTTTTAATTATCCAGTTTTTCGATTTTTCAATTATTGGGGCTTGATTTTTCGATCTTTTGACTTCTCGGGTTTTCTATTTCTCGATCTTTTCATGTTTCGAATTCTGAATGTCTTAATTTTTCATTTTTCGTTTGTTAAATTTTTCGGTCTTTCAGGTGTTTAATTTTCCAATTTTTCGATTTCTCATTTTTTCGAGGAATTCAGTTTGGAGATTTTTCAATTTCTCAATTTTTCGTTTTTAAAATTTTTCAGTTTTTCGGTTTTTTCATTTTTCGATTGTTCACAGTTTCTATTCAATATTTCGATATTTTAATTATTATATTTGTTTAAATTTTACATTCTTAGATTTCACGATTTTTCGGTTCTTTGATTTTTCTATTTGTGAATTTTTCCAATTTTTTGATTTTTAAAATTTTAGATTTTTCAAATTTTCACTTATCGATTGTTAAATTTTTCAATTTTTCAGTTGCTTAATTTTCTAATCTTTCGATTTCCCGATTTATCGTGATTTCCATGTTTCAATTTTTCAATTTTCGAATTTTAGTTTTTTCGATATTCGCTTTATTAATTTTTTCAAAATTTAAAATTTTTCAATTACGTATTACTTTTTCGATCTTCGGCTATTTCAATTTCTCGATTTTTCGATCTTTCGAGTTTTGGAGTTTTCGATTTCTCGATCTTTGAATTTTTCAATTTCTCAGTTTTTCGATTTTTCGACTTTTCAATTTCCCAATTTTTCGAGGAATTCAATTTGGAGATTTTTCTATTCCTCTACTTCTCGTTTTTTTGATTTGTCAGTTTTTCGAATTCTTGATTTTTCAGTTTTGCGATTCTTCAATTTCTCGATATTTTAATTTTTTAATTTTTTTAAATTTTGCATTTTTCGATTTTTCAAATTTTCAGTTTTTCGATTTTTCTATTTGTGAATTTTTTAAATTTTTTGATTTTTA